TGAAATTTGTAAAACAGATATTTTATTTTAGATCTACATTGCGTTTCTGAATAAAAAATGTGTCCTGATCTCGTGATGAAGAATGAGCTGAAACAAACAGAAAATACACATGTGTCTAAGGAGAACAGATACATGTATTCATCAAAAAGTGTATGCTCGTCTATAGCTCCCTGAAATAAATCAGTATCCTTCCAAACACACCTTTCTTTGAAAGCATTAGCCATTTCTACCTTTTAAATTGTACCTAAATGAATTCCGATTGTAGCTTCGATCATACTTCCTGTAAGACAGTACAATGCTATACAAAATTAAATTTTCTGTTGAAAACGATGATTAGCGTTAATATTTTGAAATGTTATTTTCATTCAAGAACAAGTTGGTATGCATGTTCCCTGTATTTTTGTGTCAATCAGTGAGAATTCCTACAGTACTTGCACACATATTCAAGACAAAAATTCCTTTGAAATACTGTACCGAAAGAAAATTATTTCGCTTTAACGGATATTACTGTAGTTATGTATCGGATTTTATTGACTGTGATGTGTGCAGGAACTGTTGCTGAAACATGGGGCAGATGCGGAGATTGCCAACTGCAACGGCGGCACGTGTCTCATCAACTCTGTGCAGAGTGCTCCTTTGTGTCGCATGTTGTTGCAGCACGGCGTGAATGCGAACGTGGCTGATCTGCACGGCCGAACAGCTGTGCACTACGCAGTGAGCATGAACAAGCTGGAGGCGCTCCAAGTGCTCGCCGAGTTCAACGCCGACTTTACGACACGGTAAATGATACTCAGATGTCGCTGCTTGCGTCACTCAAGTTACATGCCCGAACTGAATTGCTTTAAACTGATGCATTCTCTCATCAGCATTGATATGAATAATAAATCAATCGATATGTAATGCTAACTTCTGAATGAACATTGCAGTTATAAGCGGAGAGGGGTTGCGTCAAGTTTATATAAATGTCCAAGTACAGTGTAATTCTCAAGAGATTAACGACAAACATGGTTCCAAAAATCATCCTTCCAGCAGAATAAAGAAATTGCGGGTTAACGCATGGAATTCCTGATTGAAGGTGATGGTATTTATTTATTTATTTTTCTTGGGGAATTCACTCGTTTTTTTTTTTTTCAAATAATAAATAATGAAGAATAATCTGAGAATAATATGCCATAAGAGCAAGATCCAAGATGTAATTTAATATGGGCAGGTCAGGTCTGATATTTAATCATTTTTCCCAGTCATTAATTTAGATGTAGAATCTCATCATAGAAATGATTAAGCGCGTTCAAGTCCCCCGAATACTGTAAAGTTCATTGTAACGGGACTTTTGCCGTACAGTGTATGCTGTTATACAATATACAGTACAGTACTGTAATTGTTTGTGGTTCAGGACGATCCAAGGCGAAACTCCGTTGATGCTGGCGTGTCGCGAGGCCAAGTGCAACGTGTTCGAGTTCCTCGTGGACCAGGTGCGACGCGTGCACTCGTCGTCGTCGTCGTCGGCGGCGGCATTAGAGCGAGAGTTGTTGGACGCCCTCCTGCTCATGGGCGCCTCTTTGTACGAGGTGTGTTCGCAAGACTGCACGCAGTATTGGGCGTCGGCAGTTGACGTCATGTCTGCTGCTGCTGCATCATCCGCTGTCCTTGATGATGATGACGACAAGAGCAGCAGCAGTAGTAGTTTCCTGGACCTGCCTTTATTCCGGGGTCGCCGAGTGAGTATTCCAGCACTGTGTGTGTGTGTGTGTGTGTGTTTTTTTATTATCGCTTATTCTGACATCATTAGTCTCAGACTCGCCACCTCTCTCTCAATCTTTTTCTGACTAATTGCCCTTTGTCTCGCGTTCGCAACTGATGGTCGTGTCGATCGGGGCGGGTTTTTATAACAACTTCCTCGTGCTGATGAAATGTTTTTTTTTTCCTTCTTTTTTTTCCTTTTTCTTGACATCCGTGTCGTGGTCGAGGGTGTCGGAAAACTGATGGTGTTCCATCATTCCCATCAGCGAGGAATAATGTAAAGGCACCTTTTTATCATTGAGATTGGGGAGTCGGGAAATGTTCTTGTTCCATCACGAATTTCATGAGGTAGTCAGAACGAATTAATCCCAACGTTATCTAGCCTGTTTTGAGCCCAGGCAACGCATTCCGTTTTTTTTTTTTTTTCTTATTCTCCCACCCTTGCTATGGAAGGTTCTTCTGAGTTATTTCTGAAATGCTGAAAGAGACTTTTTTGATGAAAGATTTAGGAATTGAGAGTTCTTTTTTTCTTTCGGCATCTTCCTGCTTGGGAAACATGAACAGTATACAGTATTTGAAATGAGTTGGAATGGAAATGATTAGGTGCGTTTCGAAGATGAGGTATATAATACTGTACTGTACAGTACTTTAAAAAAGTGCGAGAAACTCTTGATATTTCCTATGCACTTTATATGTCTGTATATATGCAGGATTACCCCTATTTAATTCTTGCATTCGTCCATCCGTGAATGCAGATCTTTCGCACGACTGAGGAATTCGAAGAAATGCTGATGGACTCGGACGCCGGAGCAGCACAGAGTTTGCTCATCGCTCAAAGAGTTCTGGGCATGAATCATCCAGACGTTTTTGGCAGGTTTGTCTGCTGTTTCTGTGTTGATAGTCATGTACCACATCCACGAGATATATATCTATATATATCTTAACGCATGTATATATATATCTGTATGATTCAGACTCAGACTGCGTGGATGCGAATACTGCAAATTCGGTCGCCCAGTGGACGCCATGTGGTTGTGGATGGAGCTGTTGGCCCGGGAAATGAGGGAAAACGGCATTTTGGGGCAGAACTGCATCACGGTTTTGGCGGGCTATGTGTGCGTGCTCCTCGGTGAGTTAGTTCCGATAACCGACGCGGATCAAGTTCTCTTTAACTTTTGCTTCAACCCAAAGTGTAGATGTCACTCCGATGCAAATGTATACACTATTATTAAAAAATACTGTACAAAAGTTTTGATTGTTTGTTATGCAATTGTCATCGTATAGGTTTTGAACGTTAAAAGGCTGAGACACATCAGCATGCGCAGCAGGACAGGAATATGTATATGCATTGTCCGAGTGAATAATGATGGAATTGTATGCACAGCCCCCTCGTTAATTTTTTCCGACATGCATCATCATCATGCATCAGCTCATAACATCAAATGAGACGTGTAGAAAATAAATGGTTTATTTTTATTTTTTAATTTACTTGATTTAGCTGCTCAGTACTGGTTCGAGGAAAAAGTGCCTGTCGACCTGGTTCTCGATCTGCTGGACATGATCATCCGGGAAATCGAACCCAGTCGCCAGTTGTTGAGCCTGCATCCCCAGTCGACGAACCAGGTCGTGGCCTTTGACGACGTCCTGTGTTGCATCCCTCACCTGCTGCACTACGTCGTGAGTTGCAGCACAATTATTATTATTACGTATTATTATCATTATTATTTATTTGTGCGCGTGCTGTAGAGACCCGATGTGGAGATAAGCTGGAAAAAAAGAGTCAGTTTAATATTGTCATGATGCAAGTCAGATTCCTTATCACATCAGGTGCATGCTGCTGGCATTTTTGCTAGGAATTCTCGCTGCCATGCACCAATTTCCATCTGGTCCCTTATTCAATTTCGATGTAGAGAGAAAGTCTGTTGAAACCTAGTATGCTGCGTGAATTTCACAAGATTCCAAGGGGAAACATGTGCTGATGAGATGAGCTGGAATATGTGCGCTGATTCATGATTGATGATACAGTACTGCACCACGATTTCTTATGTACTGTACTACAGCAAATACAGCAGATGCATGTTTCTATATACAAACGGCAGCTTTTCTGATGCAACCACTGCTGTATACTGTATATATAAAGTGCAGCTCTATATATACATATATACCTGTGAGGCCAATACAGTACATGCTCATTGTATAGTATTATATATATGTGATACTGCTGTATATATATACATTATATGTAAAATATGACATATGTGCACTTCCAGGCGGAGACGGAGGAAGACCACCCCCGGCTCGTGGCCATTTGCAGGCAACTCGGAGAGATGAACTCCAGGACGTTCGTGACGGGCCTGTCGGTGCTGCATTCCGCCGTCACGACGACGAGGAGGTTCTCCATTGAGACGGTCCTGACGCCGGAGCAGTACCCGAGTGTGGGCCCGACGTTGCCCAGGTACTGCACTGTGCACCATGCAGCACTGCATCATCCGCGATTCACTCCAATTTTTAAATCCCTTCATTCATTCATTCATTCGTTCATTCATTTTTTTCTTCTTCTTCATCTTCTTTCTTATGCATTTGAAGCTTGAAGTTGACTCAGGTGCTGCTCAAGGCTGGCTGGAACCCGGACGTGGTGGACAAGTGCTTCACTACCCCGCTGCACAGCGTTCTGTGTGCCAAGTACCCGGGCTCTGTGATCCCCAAGGACAAGGTGAGGAGGAGGAGGATTCACCTTCTCTCTATATTTCTTCTTTTCCCTTTCTTTTTCTTTTTTACAAAATTGCAATCAGTTACTGCAGCTATATATGCTGTATATATATGCTTTCTGGAAGGGTGAGAGAATAAATAAAAATGTGATTTTTTATTTATTTATTTTTCAAAGAAAGTGAAAAAAAACTTATTTGGGCAAACACACCCTCTCTTTCTACTTCAGCTTCAACTTTCAGCCCATATTTGACAAGTTATAACTAGACTGTAGAAGGCCCAGAATATCACCAATTACAATTTCCTCAAATGTTTTCTTTTCCTTTTATCCCGTCAACAAAAAAGGCTTGTTTCCCAATAATAATAATAATAAGTGGAACGTGTTTGCTGGATATTCAACTTGAAGAAGTTCGACTGCTGCTGTACAGAGAATATAAAATTCAACACAAGTGCAGCAATATTGCATTCCAAAATAAATAAAAAATTCGTCAACGAACTTTGAAAAAAGAAAAGGAAAAACTGCCTGTTACTGTATCATGCTGATATGACTGTTTACGCATATGCAGATAGCCAAGCTGTTGCTGGATGCCGGCTGCCAAGTGGACCTCGTGGACGCCCGAGGGCGGCGGGCCTTTGAGTACCTGCCCCCGAGCGAGAAGCGCGTGCTGAGTCTGCGGAATCTGGCTGCCACTGCAGTCGGCTTGTTGCCGAACCCGAAGACGCGGGACGAGCTGAGCGGGATCTTGCCGGCAGAGCTCGTGCCTTTCGTGGCCCAGAGAACGTACAGGGCAGACGAGGCCACGCTGGCCCTGGCCCAGTTCTCCAACTCGGCCACCTACTTTTATTTCCGCGAGGACGACGGCATGTGCGTCCTCTTTGCATAACCATGATGATGATGATGATGATGCGCTTTTCCTCGCTGACTATAATTGGTGGACTGTGTTGTATTGTATATGTATGTATGAATGCTGCATTTCACGACTTATTGGACATACGATGAGACGCCGTTTATATTCCTTTCCTGTTTTTTTTTTCAAATAAAGGTTGTCGTTTATATGACAATGAGACTAATAAGAACGATTGGGCTCGTCATCATCCTTTTCTGCTAAAGTAAATTGAAAGAAGGCAGTTTTTTTTTTCTTTATCGTATCACGTTGAAAATTCAAGAGCGAAACATTTTATTGCTGTGATTTTCAAATGAAATTCAGTGGCGACTCGTAAAGTACGTATATTGTATTCCATGTGGTAAAATGCGGCATTCGAACTAATATTGTGCCTTTTTGCAACGACGACAACTTGTGCTTTCAACTTATGTACTGTACTGTATGCTGTTTCTTTTGCTGCTTTCGCTCACATTCGCGGCAATATATGCGCATGACTCATCACCCTTTCCATCAGTGCCAATGTACCGTATTTTCCCTCGAAATGATGATGGGGTCCACACTTTTTCAGAAATGCTCATTGTGATTTTCGTTGTCAACTTGACGTCCACGAGCTGTTCAGAAAGAAAATACGTTTTTCTTGTAAACAAAAATGTCCTTTTTTATTTTCGTGATGAAAATGTATGCATACACTATAGAACGGTGTTGTATACAAGCACTGTATTGTTGAACGTTTTTTCCCCGCGTCGCGTCTCTTCATACACAGTACAGTACGGAGTGGTAGGACAAGGGATGGCTCGACAACCGTTTTCTGTCTCTCGGTCAGTCCGAACGCCTGACTTGACTGCCGAGCGGCACTTCGAAGAGGCCGGGCTTTCGTGTTCATTATTGGTTGCAACGCCAATACATTGACGAGACTGCAGGTTTGAAATTGGCATTTTCTCCACCTGATTTGAATTTACTTCCAATACTGTATTAACTTTTGAATGCAGATTGCTGGCGGTGAGGCATCGTGTCTTCCGGGAAGATGCTTGTAATGAAACGACTCTGCTTCGGAGTGCCTCTGATGCATGGCCGATATGGATGTAGGACAGAGGTGAGCTTACGGTTTCTCCTGTGCGGCTGAGCGAACTCGTCGTCGCCTTGCAGTAAACAGCGATTACTGCGGCGCGATGTGAGCTGAGCTGTGATCCCATAGTGTCTCAAGATGTGATTATCCGGGGAAATTGCGTGACCGCGTGTCGTACTGTACAGTACTCCGTTGCATGCATTTGATTTCTGTAAAATGTGTTTGTTTTGTAGCAGTATTTCATATTTTCTTGCGGTGTGTGCGCGTGCGTGAGGGAGAGAGAGTCAGCAGAGGAGAGAAGGTGTCCGCCAGTTCTGTGACGTGTACGGTGCGACTAGTTTCGCCGATGATCGGTGCACAGTATTGTATACAGTATTGTATACTGATGGAATCTTATTTTCCTCTCTGCCCCCTGACGCGCCCTCCACGCTCCTGTCCATTCAGTCGCTGCGTTGGAACCATCCCCTAAGCAGTGATGAATCCCAATTCCTTGTTTATGCGCCGTCAGTTGTGTCATGAGCATTACGTTCCGTAGTATACGTTTTACTTACTGTACATGGATGTCGTTGACACTATATTTCAGCTTCGGAATTCCGTGTTGCATTTCGCTGGGTGCTGTATAGCTATACTACAGGACGACTCACGACGGTCTTCTGATGTGTGTGTGTGTCCTTTTCCAGCTCTGCTTTACTGGTTGGGTTTTCCGCGGGTAATGTGTACGATGTCGTTGTTGCATTACATAATCTTTTACTGCTCATTATGCATCCAGTTAATTTGGTTACTTGATGGGTGAGATATTGGCAGAATATGTGGTGATTGTCATTGTGTTTTTCTGTCTTTCACACACAGAGGTTCGAAACAAAAAATAACGCGCAGTCGGGAATCATGTCTTCTGGTGGGATCGACACGAATTGCATGACGCTGACGAGATACACGTTGGCAGAACAGACCAAGGTGCCTGGGGCAACTGGGGATCTCACCCAGCTTCTGGTCTCCATTCAGACTGCCGTCAAGGCCATCAGTTCCGCTGTCAGGAAGGCTGGTATTTCACAACTGTGAGTACTACAGTATCTAAACATACAGTACATTCTTGTTACAAAAAATTCTTCACACTAACAGACTTCTGCTCACTCATGTCAGAAATAAGGCCCGTAGAGTGCATCTTGAATCAATCTTTTCTTATTACGAACTTTCCAGTGTCAGTATTGTATTACAAACCTTTTTTTGAGAAATGCTGGATTGATTCTCGCATTCTCCAAGTGAAATTTCGCATCTAAGGCAGTCTGTAATGTCTTTTTCTAAATGTGACGTACTATGGTTCTTGTTGCATGGATGGAACCTGTAATCAATGACTAAACCATGGTTGGAAGGTGAAACATGCAGCTGTATTGACCGCCTTTCTCTAAACCCTCTGGTTTGCTTTTTGATTTGCACAATTACAATAAAAAGTAAAACCAGAAAATTTCTAAAATGTATGCATTATGAAAGCTCAAGATTTGGATGGGTTCAAGAAATAGAAAAATGTATATGAGATGTAGATAATGCAATTGAGCATCTGTTGAAATAGGCGAAGCAAAAATGTTTTTAAAAGTTTATCCATTGAAAAAAAAAAACTAATGATGTGAGAATGTCATAAAATCGAGATATAATTGCTGGTCTGATGTGAAGCATATTCTCCAGTCATTAAATCTTCTCATAAAAAATTAATCAGTATAAAAACATTTTCTGTTATCCCGAAAAGTTTATTGTAATACAATAAAATATGTTACTTTGTATGGATATTGCAAATAAAGAGCTTTTCGAGGGATTCCTCTTGCTGAATGTACCATGTGCAATATAGTGAAAGGAAGTTTGGTTTGATGATGAATGAGGATATCTACAGATACAATTGATAGGACTGTTGGTCTTATTCTTATTGTTGGTTTGTTAAAGGTTTGGAGTAGCTGGAGACATCAATGTACAAGGTGAAGAAGTGAAGAAGCTGGATGTTTTGTCCAATGAGCTCTTTATCAACCTGCTGAGATCATCGTACACAACGTGTCTCTTGGTGTCAGAAGAAAATGAGACTGTGATTGAAGTTGAAACTGAGAGACAAGGAAAGTACATTGTCATGTTCGACCCACTGGATGGTTCTTCCAACATTGACTGTCTTGTCTCCATTGGGTTAGTCTTCAATTTCCCTGCTCATCTCCTGTGTAGAGCAATATAATGCTCTAGTATACGTGAAAAATGTTTATTCTTTGCATTTTAAATTGAATCAATCAGGTCCATTTTTGGAATCTGGAGGAGGTCCCCAGATGCTGAAGGGCCACCTGTTGTCCAGGAAGCTCTGCAACCCGGGAGGCAGATGGTGGCTGCAGGTTATGCCCTGTACGGCTCTGCCACCATGATGGTGGTGTCTGCTGGAGGATCTGTCAATGGCTTCATGTTGGATCCGGTATGAGAATCTTATTTTCCAGATGACATTGTGTCATTTGTTGATTGATGATGAAGCTGCCACCTGCTCATTGTTGGAATGTCGTTAGTAGGCAAGATTGCACTATGTGTAAGTGTAAGAGTTTTACATTGTGTTGATGGCGTTTCAGGCAATTGGAGAGTTTGTCCTTACCGATCCTGACATGAAGATCAAACCCAGGGGAAAATTATACAGTCTCAATGAAGGATACGAGTCTTCCTGGGACCCAGCTGTTACGGAGTACGTCAAGAGCCGAAAGTACCCCAAGGTATGGAAAATAAAACTACAATATGCAGTAGAGAAAAACTTGAATTCACTTGATCGCGATATTTATGCAAGATTTATAATTCTCTCGTTTGCTTCGGATTTCTCAGGAAGGAAAGCCGTATGGGCAACGTTACATAGGTTCAATGGTGGCTGATGTTCACCGAACAATCAAATATGGAGGTGTTTTCATGTACCCTGCCACAAAAGATGCGCCCAAGGGCAAGGTTTGTGTTTGCCTCCGTGTATTATATGGCGCTGCCTTCATAAGATGTATACCTCTCATGATTTTTCTCTGATTTGAAAGTTCTGAAATATGTTTTGCAAGTTCCACTGTAGTTNCTGCCACCATGATGGTGGTGTCTGCTGGAGGATCTGTCAATGGCTTCATGTTGGATCCGGTATGAGAATCTTTTTTTCCAGATGACATTGTGTCATGTGTTGATTGATGATGAAGCTGCCACCTGCTCATTGTTGGAATGTCGTTAGTAGGCAAGATTGCACTATGTGTAAGTGTAAGAGTTTTACATTGTGTTGATGGCGTTTCAGGCAATTGGAGAGTTTGTCCTTACCGATCCTGACATGAAGATCAAACCCAGGGGAAAATTATACAGTCTCAATGAAGGATACGAGTCTTCCTGGGACCCAGCTGTTACGGAGTACGTCAAGAGCCGAAAGTACCCCAAGGTATGGAAAATAAAACTACAATATGCAGTAGAGAAAAACTTGAATTCACTTGATCGCGATATTTATGCAAGATTTAATTCTCTCGTTTGCTTCGGATTTCTCAGGAAGGAAAGCCGTATGGGCAACGTTACATAGGTTCAATGGTGGCTGATGTTCACCGAACAATCAAATATGGAGGTGTTTTCATGTACCCTGCCACAAAAGATGCGCCCAAGGGCAAGGTTTGTGTTTGCCTCCGTGTATTATATGGCGCTGCCTTCATAAGATGTATACCTCTCATGATTTTTCTCTGATTTGAAAGTTCTGAAATATGTTTTGCAAGTTCCACTGTAGTTGTATAATCCAGTTCTTAGGTATAAAGGTGCATGGTAAACTTTTCCAGCCAGGCTTTTCTTCAGGGTCAACATACAATATGATGAGGTCTTCAAGTTGTTGAAGCAATGCTGTACGGAACTGAGTATACCACTCACCCCCTGAAGTAATGCATGCACCTGAAATTTGCATTCTAAAATTTGATAAAATGGATTGTAGATTAAGATTTGCACCTCAGCTCTATCTAGAGACTGAGAATTGAAATATTTCGAAAATTAAATGGACCAGATTTTAAATTTCGACTTTAATTATTGTAGTCAGAGTGGATGGTGATTTTCCATCATTTCCATGTTGAAAATTATTATATTGAAACTGGTTAAAAGTTCCCTGTTGGATATCATGTATGATGTGCGCAAAAGCTTTGTTTTTTATGTGATCTTTGCCAATGACGTGAAACCTTTGTTCTTTCTCTTGGTTGAAAAAGTAAAGGTGCTGGTGTATATACAGTAAGTTTGAGTGTCCAACTGCAGTATATGAACATTGATTCACATCCTGTTCATGTTATACAGCAGTAATTGAAGTTTTGTGTTGAATTTTTGTATTGATATGTTCCCATCTTGGAATCAATTGAATTTTTGCGCTACAGTATTCTTGAAATTGTTGTAGCTGCGCCTGATGTATGAATGCAATCCCATGAGCTTCTTGGTGGAGAATGCAGGAGGCCTGGCCACAACTGGAGACATGCCAGTTTTGGACCTTGTCCCAACGTCAATCCACCAGCGGGCACCGATTGTCTTGGGTTCCAAAGAAGACGTTGAAGAGTACATTGAAATTGCCAAGAAACACAAGCCTCAGTGAAGCTTGTGCAGGCCTCCAATACACCCATTCATTCATTCATTCATTGTCATTTGAATGGCGGGGATCATTCCAAAAGCAGCGCCGTTTGAACACTAACTACATTGTCTTATTATTCTCTGATGAACCTCACCTGTCTTACATATGGAAAGCATGGAGCTCTGTGACATCTGGTGCTTCTCTGGCTGTGGGTGTCTCGTGTAATTTTGGTCTAAGATGAGGTGTGCAATAAAATGAGCATCTTGATTTACAAGATGTGCTTTGCAGGCTGATTATTCTGATGTACTGTATAATATTGTAGTCCTATATGTATTGTATGCTGAAGTGCTCTTATTCAAGAATTTCATGATTTGCAGCTCTATACTGTACATGCCTTCAAAATCCTTCATCGCCTGCACGGTTGTGTGGATTGCATTTAAATTGAATTGAAACGAAATTGGATGCAGATGCTTAATTTCCTCTATGTATAGAACCCGTTCATAATAACCTGCGCTAAGTCGCAAATTGTGCTGGTTTCAAATAAACCCGGCGAGCAGTAAGTGTTCGAATGCTGCACCTGAATCAAAGAGGCAAGAGTTAGAATGACTATGCAGTATTCAGGAAGATGAATATTTGCTTGCTTATACCTGTATCTCCAAACTTGAAAGACACTGCATGCTTAACGGCATTGTTGTGCGCGCGTAGATGCAGTCTCCAGCATTTGAAATACTGTATTGACTTCACATCCATCGATTCAAAACTTAGCCAACAATAGGTATTCTTTATTTCTACTCGATAATCTCTAAATCAGGAGACAAAAATAATAGTCCATGAGAAACACATATTTATATGTTTGAGTATACATGCATATCTTGCAAAAGATGAAGGGTTCCCCCATTAAAAATGATCCCAGCTAGCTGAAAGGGGTTCATCAGTCAAAACTCGAAAAAGGGCTGTGGGAACTAACGATGAGATAAGGTTTTCCTTTCATGTTATTGCTGTGTCCTTGATTTTACCCCTCTGTCTATACGGGGAGCAACATGGCGTGTCCAAAGATACCAAGTGATGGGGTCATTGAATAGATGAATGCCCCTTCAAGTCAGGCTGGGCATACAAGAATAAGGTAAAGCATCAGTATAAGCTGTGTGATGTGCATGGCTTCAGTTTTCCTCCCAAAACGCTATCCACGCTGTTGAGAACGACGTTTTATTGTCATGATGAGTGTGACTGATTAAAATAAATCGAACTTTGAATTGCTGATGGAGACCGTACTGTATACATACCTCTGCAGCACTAAATACTGTAAGTCGTTGTCTGTCATTTGAGCAATTCTTAAATACCGGCGTCCAGAAATACTGATCAATAAAAACCTGAGGTGCATTCAAGCATCAGTGATTCATTCATACTATGAAGCATCCATCATCATGCTCAACTTCTTAGTTGAGACGGATGACGTGCGTTTGCTAAACTTAATACGAGAGAAAAATATGCTGTCCATAAATACAGTGCTGGTACATTACAGTGTATATTCCTTGAAAAAAGTTGATGCAGAAATTTTTAATCGCAGTGTTGTATTCTTTATGCGCTGGAGAGCTTATATAATGGCGAGTGCAGCTGATGATGACGAGGGGCGTGGTGTTCGTGAACGGTTCGCGATTTGCTGGTGACGAAAGCTGTGTTTACTTAGCATCGGGTTTCGGTGTAAAGACAGGGTACATGATGTGCTTGGTACTCTCGCATTCAAAATGCAGTTCCACTCATATATAGTCGGGAGCTGCTGTGTGCATATGGATGTTGGAGCCGATATCACAGCGGTTACTTGCTACCTTATTTATTGCAGTACGTGCCTGAAGTGTGGAAGTGGAACGACATCTGTTTGACATTCAAAGACTTGCTGCTTCATTTACAGTAGATTACATGCTGGTCCATATAGTGTCCTTATAATAGAAGACTGAAAAAATAAATTGTCAACCATTTTCAGTTCGAATCTTGACCAATATATGGTTTCAATTGATGTGGAACCATCATGTACATAATGCACAGTGAGACCCCAAGATGTGGACAAAATTGGTACATAAAGAGCTGTGTCCCAAAGTTGAGACTCAGTTTCCCAAAGATATACATTATATAATTTTTAATTGGTGTTTTATGAAAGAAATATTCTTCAGAATTCAATGAAAAAAATTGTTTGCCACTTGAATTTGCTTTAGTGAATATATCCTTTCAAATCAATAAGAGCATGCAGTTGGCATCTGCTGTAAGAATGACATTATTCAAGTCACAGCAAAGAGAGAAGGAAGTCCCTCTATGTGGTAGGTACATTTTTAATTAGCTGAATGGATGGGAATCAGTGCATGATGGCAGAACTATACTAAAGAATTTTTCTGGAATAGATCTTAGGTGTAAGAAATATTTGTTTCTTGCAATTAAGACTAAAAAAAGAGAAGTCTCCTGAAATTTATTGGCAATTTTACCATGCAATTTCTGCATGCATAATGTCTAGCCAGTGTCCAAATGTTATGGCCTCTTTTATGCCTTTTTAATGAAAAATAAATGTCCCTTTGTCAAGTTGTCTGCATGTGGGGTCTCACTGTATTATACAAATGTCAAGAATCTCCAAGTTTGCTCATGAATTAAATGCAGCAGATAATTCATACCGCTGCTGCCTTCTCTTTTATTACTGGAATTATTCCCTGTGCAAATAAATATATAGTAGCTCGTCAATGAGGGAGTGGCAAATGACGAGAAAAGCTATATGCCGGTTATTAAATTCTGGAAGGGATCTCTTATTCTACTGCTCTATATAATAGCAGATTACTTGCTGCATTCACGCTGTTACATCAATGGGGACAGCGATGGTGACGGGGAAGCGGAACGAAGTGCGACACCTGGTTAAAGTTTTTAATGCTAAGAACGATGGAGCTTGCCTCGAAACAGGTTCGGTGGAGTGCAGCGAGCGAGCAGCAAAGGCATGCGCACCTTTATATACGTAAGACTCGAATCAATCCTCTCAGCTGGGAGTCGTAGCGGGCCCCTGTAATCCAGCGATTGGAGGCTAGAGTCGGCGGATGGTGTGCGGTTAGGGGTCCTTGTCATTGGTGGTACCATGACGATCGGGCGTCCGCACTAAGCTTGGCGTCAATATGGTCCACCTGGAGGAGTCCGGGAGGGCCAGGTTGCGTGAAGAGGGCGGAAACCGGGCCAGGGGGGAAACCCAGCAGCCAAAACCTCCCGCGTCAAGCAGTAGTGGGACTGCGCCTGTGAATGGGCCCTGGTGACGAGCCTGGCCTATAATCACTAGACCCGACTTTTTCATACTTTTTTTTATTTGAATTTTGAAAATTTTGTGTTGTACATATCAAATTTACAGTTTTTACTTGATCGTGCATCAGTAGGCGTCGTGCACGCGCGAGTTCGAATCCCGCCCTCGTCGAACTTTTTTGTGTGTGTGTGTGTGTTGTTTGTTCACCACCGTAGTTTTTCCCTCGGGCCCCAGCATGCGTGTATTCCGACTCCTCTTCATTATCCTGAGTCAGGCGTTGACTGCTAGTGTTGCGTATGAATGGGAGACCAAGTATTACTCCAACAGGGTGAGTTTATTTATTCTTTTTTTTGGTTTATCCCGTAATGTAAGGAACACTATTATTGATTTGCAGCATATATCGTATATATTATGTATAGTTTGCGTGCAGTATTTCCCGTGATGATGGATTGGCCCTGCACGTTTATTATTCCGTTCAAGGTCGACCATTTGTCTTTCACCACGGACTCTCGGTATGAGCAAAAGTTCCTCATCAACTGGGATTCCTTTCGAAGCGGAGGCCCGATATTCTTCTACGCGGGCAATGAGGGAGACATTGAAAACTTTGCCGAGAACACGGTACTCAGCACATCAAATGCTGTATACAGTATAATACAGTGCAGTAATGTATTTATGACAGAGTTGTGTTGTGTTGTATTTGGCCTCTGCCGAAGAACTTTACAATTTCATGGCTACATCATATGCAGTATTATATACTGTACTCGTTTAAGAATAGAGCCTTCGACAAGCCCGGATGAATACTGTACTGTACACTTGTACAGTAATACAGCCGTGTCTTTATCTCTTAATTGCATCATCACAGCAATTACTGCTGTATTATTGCTGGTGTAAGTATACATTCATTCATGTCATACACTGTATATCGTATGTGCACAGGGTTTCATGTGGGAGTTGGCGCCCGAGTTGGGAGCTGTGCTGATTTTTGCGGAACACAGGTACTACGGAGAGTCCATGCCCTTCGGCAACGATTCCCTGTCCGTAAGTCGTCGTCAACCCGTGTTTTCTCAACTGCTGAGTACAGTACAGTATANGCCCGGATGAATACTGTACTGTACACTTGTACAGTAATACAGCCGTGTCTTTATCTCTTAATTGCATCATCACAGCAATTACTGCTGTATTATTGCTGGTGTAAGTATACATTCATTCATGTCATACACTGTATATCGTATGTGCACAGGGTTTCATGTGGGAGTTGGCGCCCGAGTTCGGAGCTGTGCTGATTTTTGCGGAACACAGGTACTACGGAGAGTCCATGCCCTTCGGCAACGATTCCCTGTCCGTAAGTCGTCGTCAACCCGTGTTTTCTCAACTGCTGAGTACAGTACAGTATAAACAGTGCCTTGTTTATACTGTACTGTACTGTACTGTACTGTATATATCATCCTAATTAATAACAGCCCCGCGCGAGGAAAATATGGAAATGCTCGTCATCAAACTCCTGCTGTGTATATACTCTTTACATGTGTACATGCATCCAGCAGTTATTCAAAGTGTAGCATTATGAAAATAATAAGTCGTCTTACTTGTCGTAATATACAGCCCAGGTGTTATTCCTGTCATAATTACTCTGCTGATGCCGCTTGATTTGGGTTCACGCAACGAGGCCACATACGGCAATCTTACAGTCGTGTGCTGTATTATATATGTAACTGTAGCGCTGTATATATAGAAGCATATTTTCATCGTCCATATATATATTAGGTCTGCATTAGTATTTCGTTGCTTGTTATTATATGACGACGAGATAATACGGCGTGCGATGATGATGGCCATTACGATGATAAACACCAATCAACCAGCAGCAACTGATGATGATGATGCTGCCGCACGTGGCACAACATGTTTGTTGCCAATCATCATCGTGTGCTCATCTGCTGCTGCTATAGTGACTGGTATGAACCACGGTGAATTTTCGGAGCTGTGCTGATTTTTGCGGAACACAGGTACTACGGAGAGTCCATGCCCTTCGGCAACGATTCCCTGTCCGTAAGTCGTCGTCAACCCGTGTTTTCTCAACTGCTGAGTACAGTACAGTATACACAGTGCCGCGTTTATACGGTACTGTACTGTATATATCATCTTAATTAATAACAGCCCCGCGCGAGGAAAATATGGAAATGCTCGTCATCAAACTCCTGCTGTGTATATACTCTTTACTTGTGTACATGCATCCAGCAGTTATTCAAAGTGTAGCATTCTGAAAATAATAAGTCGTCTTACTTGTCGTAATATACAGCCCAGGTGTTATTCCTGTCATAATTACTCTGCTGATGCCGCTTGATTTGGGTTCACGCAACGAGGCCACATACGGCAATCTTAAAGTCGTGTGCTGTATTATATATGTAACTGTAGCGCTGTATTTATAGAAGCATATTTTCATCGTCCATATATATATATTAGGTCTGCATTAGTATTTCGTTGCTTGTTATTATGACGACGAGATAATACGGCGTGCGATGATGATGGCCATTACGATGATGAACACCAATCAACCAGCAGCAACTGATGATGATGATGCTGCCGCACGTGGCACAACATGTTTGTTGCCAATCATCATCGTGTGCTCATCTGCTGCTGCTATAGTGACTGGTATGAACCACGATGAATTAACACCAATCAACCAGCAGCAACTGATGATGATGATGCTGCCGCACGTGGCACAACATGTTTGTTGCCAATCATCATCGTGTGCTCATCTGCTGCTGCTATAGTGACTGGTATGAACCACGGTGAATAAAGAAAAGTTACGTGCAAATGCTGTACTGTACTTCATATCACGGATATGATTTCTTTTAGTAAAGGTGTGCTGTGATGAGAGTCAAGCATTTACTTTACAGTACATGCAGTACTGCTGCAGCAATTAATCCTCGTCCTTATTATTGAATCAAACATATATGCTGGAAACAGACCAAGGAGAACAGAGCGTATCTGAGTTCTGAACAAGCTCTGGCAGACTTTGCAGAACTGCTGCACCACCTGAGACATGCTGATGGAGACACGAGACTCAGGACCAGTCCCGTGGTGGCCTTTGGTGGTTCCTACGGTGGCATGTTGGCCGCCTGGTTCCGCACCAAGTACCCGCACATCGTCCAAGGGTACTGTATTTACATATACAGCATTACTCTAATTTATACATGCGAATGGGGCGTCGAATGACGAGCAAATACGAAATGTAAAATACTACTGTTGTGTTATATTATACTGTATAGGGCTATCGCGGCTTCTGCACCAGTCGTCCAGTTCCAGGGATTCACTCCGTGCGAGACGTTCAATGACATCGTGAGGAGGGATTTCCATGCTGCGACACCTAGTGGCCGCTGCGATGAACGTTTCGGCCAGAGCTTCAAGTTGCTCAAAGCCGCTGCGCAGCAAAGTACAGTATATATTCTTCGGTTTTTCCTCCCCCCTCAGTTTTCTGTAAATTGAGAAAGTTGTATATGCATGCATACATGCATGAATGAATATCGTAGTATATCCATATAGTGCTTGCAGTTTGTATATACATAATCCAATGATCAACAGATGACTTGGATCAGCTGAGCAAGACGTGGAAACTGTGCAAACCTTTGAAGAACTCGACGGACGTGGATGGCATCATCGACTACCTGGTGGACCTCTTTGGCAACGTGGCCATGGTCAATTACCCGTACGCGGCCAACTTCATCATGGACTTGCCTGCCAACCCAGTACAGGTGCACAGCAGTACAGTAGTACAGCAATGTATACTTGAGAATTAAATGTAGCCCTGATTCATCTGCATCTAGCTCATGATTATTGATTCCGTTTGTACATTGGCTTTGTCTTTTTTTTTTTTTATTTCCTGCTGTGCTGGTCGTAAAATCACCTTTTATATTGGACAACTTTTATTGTGAAAATCATGATGTCGCACAGCAATAAGCTACAGTACTGTATAAAAGATTAAAAAAAAAACACTACATCGTCACTTGCGTATGCTTGATCATTATTACCATAAATACAATACTGCGTCAGCTGACCAAAAACATAACTACAATATCCCACCATATTCGTATGTAGCAAAAAATTGACTCAATTCAATTAAGCCTACATTGCTCAATTTACTGATTATGTTTGTAAAACCCACATGATGATGATGATGATGATGATGCATGAAACAGGCCATGTGTGCAGCCATGGATGCTTCCAGTGCCAAGAAGGTGTCAGAATTGGTCTTTGATGGCTTCCAAGTGGCCATCAACCACACTGGCAAGTTGGACTGTTGGGACGTGTCCACTTCGTCTGCTCAGAAGCTGGGCACTGCAGCCTGGGACTTCCAGGTCAGTCATGATCATCAAGAAACAAATCAATGTATAGTATGCAGATGCATCCCTTCACTACTACTGTACAGTACTGTATTTCAGCATACATGCAGTAGTACCGTATTTGAATTTCCTTCTTATTTTTCACAGTCAATAAGACCATCACCTGCTATGGTGGTGGTCCAGCATGCAGAGCGTGCAGTATGTGTGTACTGTACTGTATTTTCTTGCATCTTACTCTACAAGTTTGCTAATGTTAAACTCAAATATATGGTTAAGATAAAAGCTAACAACAAAACAGCATTTCTTTTCTCTTTTTCCTTCTGTTGAAGCAAATCAAGAAGAGATAGGGCAGTGCATTAATTAGAGCTGAGTACTGCTGTACTGTACAGGCATTTGTGTGGAAAATAAGGTAATTATTATTCAACCCCTTCTCATATGCATGCCCATCGCTCAGGCCTGCACAGAAATGGTCATGCCCATGTGCACCAAGAAGGCCAACAAGATGTTCCCCGAGTCCAAATGGGACCTGGAGGCCTACACAGAAAAGTGTCTGGGCCAGTTTTCAGTGAGGCCCAGGCCAGACATGGCCATGATCAACTATGGCTCCAACTGGCTCCAGGCTGCCTCCAATATTGTATTCAGGTATGTTATGTACATCACGCCATATACTGTACTGTGGTTGCTTATATAATTTGCTTTTGATCCAAAAAAAAAAAAAAAAAATTGTGCCTGTCTCATATTTTCTTATATAAAATTTACAGTAGTGATTTACAGGGGTCCAGGCATTTGCTGGACAATATTATATAACTATAACTATGAAAGACATGCTGAAAACACTGAACATTTTTTTAGGAAAACAGGGAAGAATATTATTTTGCAAAATGAAGTGTATAGGCGATCTCCCAAACGAATTGAGCTACTAGATGTACCATGTGCAGTACGCGCGATGATATCAAAATGAAGCTATAGTTATTGTGAATCTATGCTGAAATTTATTTTCCAAAATAAGGCAATTTTGTGTTTCTCCTTTTTGTCATGTATTGACTGATGTATTGACTGTACAGCAGATAAATGTATACATTGGGGTCGCTTGGCTGATATCAAAAACAGTCAGTCTAGGTGTTTCAGCATACATCTTTATTTTCTTATTAGCTGGATTGTATGATTACAATCCATGAAAAGAAAACAAAAAGATTGCGATAATTTCCTTCCGCTGAAAGTGTTTAAATTTACAATCAAGTACTGCTGTACAGTATATCCATGATGTCAGGGCAGTTTTCCTGTTTGCTTTTGGTCTCAAAAGTGCTGCTGTCCTGTCCATCCCTCATGAGCAGTCCAATTGTCCACATTTTGAGGCAGTCTATACAGTATACTGTATATACGCAATTGTACCGCTGTACAGTACAGTACTTAATCGTCTTTTCGTTGTTGTTCCTGTTGCTGTTGTGTTGAACTTGTATTATATACATGCTGTGACGATGATGATACATTTTTGTTGCAGCAACGGGGACTTGGACCCGTGGTCTGGCGGCGGAGTCTACAAGAACCTGACTGGGAATTCCGTCTTCTCCATCTTGATCAAGGACGGGGCCCATCACCTGGACCTGAGGGGCTCGAACCCGGCTGCTGACCCGCCGAGTGTCACGCGGGCCAGGGACTTTGAGCGGGACAGGATCCGGGAGTGGATAGCTGCGTATCAAAGCGTTACGGCTGACTCGCTGATGTAATGTACAGTACCACTCTGCTGTACTATACATATTGGATGGAATGACACGTACGACGATGACGAACCTGAGCAGTATTTCATCATCATCATGAAGATGATGACCGTTTCTTATTGGTTCATATATACGATGCGTTGTAGTAGACTGTACTGCAATTGATTCTCTCGTATTGTTAATTTGACTCTCACGCTACTATATTGTGTAATACATGCACCGGATTTTGTCTGTCAACCAACATTCGATGAGCGAAATGCAGGTTTGCGTTTTCTGTTATTGAAAGGCCGACGTATACTGCATCATATTGGTAAATCATTTGAACAAGAGAAAAATCTACTTTGCTGGCACGTCTCTCGCATCATGATTTTGTCTTGCACGAAACATTGATCACTATTCGATATAAATTACAGTTCAGTATACTATACAGTACAGTACAGTACAGTATATGGACTTGCAGGAACGCCAAGCCGCTGCTGCTGCTCATCAAAAAGCTCCTATGATGGTTTGGCCTGGCCAGCCGGGCGGGCAATCAATCACTGCGTATTCTTACGAGCGACACCTATTTTCTTACATGCTCGATCGAATAACCGCCCGCCCGCCCGCCTGTTTAGGTTGCATTTGCTGCGGGCAGATGTCACACGCACCGACGGTTGAAAAAAGAAGAGAAGCTCCTTTCTCTCTTTCTCTCGCCCACAGTCCAGTATGGTACTGCTGTACTCCAGCAGACGCAATAAATATCTCCTACCCCGTATCATGTGTACATGACTGATCTGAACATGTACACTTTGTTGCATGCATAGGAGACTTGGTGTTTATTTAGTTCCTCTTTTTTTTGTCGTTGTTGTTCTATAACGAAACGGGGGACTATAAAACACCCCATGGACAGATTTAAGAGGTGCAAGGAGACGGGAAACAATGTTGATCCCAGGTAAATGACGTCGTGGTATTACTGGTATGTATGGCATGGCTGTTGGACCCAGCACCCAGCAGGCAACAGGGCGATTTCCCCCCCCCCCCCCCTTCTTCTATCCCATCACGGCGACCGACCAGCCAGCATATACTGTATTATCGGGGGGATGATGACACACTACTAGTGCATGTATACAAGTACAGTACAGTACTGTACAGTATAGGGATGTGCTGCAGCATCAGAGACAGCCTCTGCTGGCGATGGTGCCTCAGCAGTTGCTCTTGGACCTCGGACCCGTGGTGTGTGCTGGTGATGCAACAAGTGTCATCTTTCCCCTCATTTTGGGTGTGTGTTGCACATACGGACGGACTCTGTAAAGCTGTGATTAATTGATGGGAATCCTTTGCGTGTCGGACTTTTCCGCAGTACGTTGGCGCGGATATACAGTACAGTAAATGGTTGCATTTCTTATTGTTTCGACAATATAAAAGAGGTGAACTCTAGGAAAAAAAAAAGAAAGAACTCGATTATTATTATTATGGCGTACTACCCTGCTGCTGGCGATGATGGAGGCTGCTGGTGGTTAATCATCGGATCCCGGAGCTTTATTGCTCTCTTATTCGCAGTCCTCATGCTGTTGAGCACGTCTCATGAGGTATCAGGTGGACCCAGTGAGTTATTGTTTCTCTTGGAAAGAAAGAAAGAAAAGCATTATTGCGCTTTTTTCAAATGAGAGAAAGAAAATGAGCAAGTTTTTTGTTTGCAGGTGGGTCAGTCAGCTGCCACCGGACAGACTCGGTGCAGTGCAAAAACTCGAGCACTTGCATCCACAACTCGCTCATGTGCGACGGCAAGCCAGACTGTGTTGAAGGAGACGACGAGGACTTTATCGAATGCACACTGAGTGAGTTCATACGAGTAAATACAGCATACTGTATATGTACTGCAGTCATGAAGGATTGATTGATTGGCATTAATTTGGGAAGTAATCTCATTTATTTGTCGTCGTTTGATGAGCAGTCAGTCAGTCGGTCAGTCATGGGGATTCATCGTTAATTGACCTGCAGCGCGCCGAAGATGAAGAAATGAATGAATAAGTCTTGCGTGAAATATGTGTATGCTTTTAGAATGGGTTATTATAGGGCCGGTCATTCGGGATTATTCCACATGCTGTACTGTAGTGTACTGCATATCGGTTCCTTTTATTTCAATCAAGAGCCATGATGGAGCGGTCTCAATAATATTATTAATAATAATAATAATAATAGAGTAGTGTAATAATGAGGTTGGCATATGGACGTGACGAAAGTACTGCTGCTTTGTTTCTTTGTTTCTAACGTGGACAAATGATGTTGCGAGGATTTCATGATGGACACGTTTGCAAATTTTGCAGAGATGGAAGTATAAGAAGGACTAATATTCAATTGAAGTATGTAATAGTCCCGTAATGCGTAGGTTTTGTTGTTGTTGTTCTTTTTGGATTCCTTGGTCTTCTTATTACTGTACTGTTACGTCGAGCACCAGTAGTGCGTCATAAGTATAGTACTGTACTGTACATAGGAATATACAGTACATTACTGTATAACTCTCCCTTTTTTTGCGGGTAAAATGCCACATTCCACACGTGTGTTGTTTTTCTTTCCTTCACTTGCAATTTTTGGGAAGGGGGGAAATGTGTGAAAAAGCTTACATTCCTCATCGTATTGTCCGAGTCCATAATAATAAGTTACAAGACAAAAACCTGAATGCTGTTTGCGCTGGACAAATGTTAATGCAGCAAGTACTGTATAATTGATTGCAATGATGGAATGCCGGAGTCAAGATTCCCCAATTTCCGCGGTTTTTTTTTTAATTTTTCACCGTAGTGTAACTTTTACTACAGTACTTTTACTTTGTTCATATATCGTAAAAACGGAAGGACACAGCATGCAAGATACTGTACTGTACATTACACGAGTTAGTTGCCCAATAACTCGTGTAATGATGCTGGTCGTCCGCGGAAAATGTTGAGCATTTACTGTATAAATACCGTAAATTTAAAATAAGTAAATAAATGGGAAATGAAGTCTGTATTGTTGTCTTTTGCGTACAATTTCAAGAAAACATGCGGTGATGGTAAGCATCAGGTAATAGTTGAAATTATCTGATGAAAAAACAAAGGTGCTGGTTTTTATATTGTATCTCCCAATAACACTTACTACTGTACTTGAGACACATTTTCATCTGGTGAAATGAATCATTTTTATTTTTTAATTTAATTTTATTTATTTCTTGAATAAGCCCAGCATTCTTTCCGTTATTATATTGCTACTACAGTACTTCATTTGGCTGGTGATTGCTCCACTGAATTTTGAAATACTGATGTACCTGCTGTATAATCATCATGCCTTTCAAGCAAAACTGGTTTTTTCCTTTTGAATGTGGAATTTGCCATTCCGCGGGCAGCAGCAGAAACAGCACAACACCATATACAGTACATTCATTACGTTACTTTGCAATAATAATAATAATAAATACGCACTACTGCTGTGTATGCAGCACCGTACGCAGTACTGTATACTGTATATAGTGCTAAGTGAAACTCAATGGGTATATGATGGTACAGTATAGAGCATACATCCATCAATCAATGAATCAATCAATCATTCTCAGTCTGCATGTATATATATTTCACAGTACAGTATATATATATATATATATATATATATATATATATTAGTGGTAATTGTCAATGTTTCAATAATGTATATGCTGGTCGACTTTCTTTTTCAATTCTTGCACCTCTTAATCTGTCATTTGTTTGTCCTGTGCTGTATCCTGTACTGAACTGCTTTTCTCATTGCTCTGTATATATATATACACATACATGTGCAGGCCCCAAGTTCACCGGGTACATTTCAGGCCCACCTGATGCCGTCAACGAAACAGCCATCAACAAGACCATCGCTCACCACCTCAAGAGTGTGCACGAGTGCCGTGAGTGCTTTGCTTTCTTTCTTTGCTTGCTTCATTGCAGTAGTATACTGTAGTGTCTCTATCATGAAATAATGTGGCTTTATTCTCTCTCTTTTTCTTTTTTAATAATCCTGCTGCTGTAATATACCTATCATATACCTATCCTGTGATTCATTGATTGGGTCGGCTGCTGCTGTCTATATGATGCACAGCAGCAGGGGAGCAATAAGTGCTTCACACTGCAAAGTACAGTATTATAGAGTTGGACGATAATTGAGAAAATAACGCACTCGATCCTCATCGTATTCATGTGCATACCCTGTATACAACTTATCTCTTGTATATATATATATATATATATATATATATATATATACTGAATATTGCATACAGAGATGAAGATGCTGGGCGATGAAAAAAAAATAAAGGGAATTGGTGAATAATGGAAACGAAATACGTATAATAGTGATACTGAGACATCATTAGTATATATATATATATATATATATATATATATATATATATTAGTGGTGATTGTCAATGTTTCAATAATGTATATGCTGGTCGACTTTCTTTTTCAATTCTTGCACCTCTTAATCTGTCATTTGTTTGTCCTGTGCTGTATCCTGTACTGAACTGCATTTCTCATTGCTCTGTATATATATATATATATACACATACATGTGCAGGCCCCAAGTTCACCGGGTACATTTCAGGCCCACCTGATGCCGTCAACGAAACAGCCATCAACAAGACCATCGCTCACCACCTCAAGAGTGTGCACGAATGCCGTGAGTGCTTTGCTTTGCTTGCTTCATTGCAGTACTGTAGTATAGTGTCTCTATCATGAAGTAATGCGGCTTTATTCTCTCTCTTTTTCTTTTTTAATAATCCTGCTGTTGCTGCTGTAATATACTTATCATATACCTATCCTGTGATTCATTGATTGGGTCGGCTGCTGCTGTCTATATGATGCACAGCAGCAGGGGAACAATAAGTGCTTCACACTGCAAAGTACAGTATTATAGAGTTGGACGATAAATGAGAAAATAACGCACTCGATCCTCATCGTATTCATGTGCATACCCTGTATACAACTTATCTCTTGTATATATATATATATATATACTGAATATTGCAT